TTCCGGGGTGACCTTGATCTCGCTGTATTTGATCCCCATCTGGATTAGTGTAGTATTGAATATGAGATCGACGGAGCTGCCTGTGTCGACCAAGATCTTCGAGACATCGTCTGATCCGATACAAAGGGAGATAACAAGCGGGTCGTTGTGCGGGCGGTCAAGACCTTTGGTGTCTGCTTCCGTGAAGGTGATAGGCAGGGTGTCGTCGTAGACCGGCGTCTCCTTTTTGGCATTTGTGGCGCGGCGTTCATGCTTTTTGATCGAGTTGATCGAGTCGTTGAATGTAAAGAGGCCGCCCATGATCATGTTGATCCTGCATCGAGGTGACGGGAGTGCTGGTGGTGGTGGAGGCGAGTCCTCCCGTGCACGCTTGGGATTCTCGTCAGGACGGGTCTGTTCCTGATGAACGGGGGTGCGTCGGTCGTCAGCCCGAGGGCGGGCTTGATCGGCACGGGGTCGGTGTGAGTATTCGTCTCGTAGTCGGTCATCCAGTTTGATCCTACCGGCCAGCCATTCTTGCATGAGGACGTCTCGAAGGTGGCGGCATTCGGTGTCGTCGTGGCCAGAGCGCTTGTGCCAGGTGCAATAAGGTTGCGATCCAGAGGTGTCGCCCAAGGAGTTTACCCATTTGTTCCATGGGTGAGGTCGGCTGATGGTCGAGACGTTGGCCTTGCAAGCCTTGTCGTTGCGATCGTAGTGTTGGCGGAGTTCCTGGTATTCCTCTTCTTTAGGTCGAGAGCTAGTAGACTTCTTCTTCGCTGCGAGTCTCTCGTCTTCTCTTGTTTGTGTATCTTCCAGGTTCATGAATTTTGTGGCTTTGTGGAGGAGTTCGTCGAGGGATGTAGTTTTGCCTGTTGTCACTTTGTCGTAGAATTTTTGGTTCTTGCGAAGGTTGAGGCCGAGTGCTATCAGGGCGTTCTCGTCTATTGGGTCGCATCGTGCGACGACGGTGCGGAAACGGCCGATGTACTCGCAGAGGGTTTCCTTTTTGCCCTGGACGCATGTCCAAAGTTCGGCGGTGTTGCCTCCTCGCTCGATATACATGGAGTAGTGGCGGAGGAATTCCAATGAGAGTTGGGCAAACGTCTCGATGGAGTTTAGTTTGAGCTTGGAGAACCACTGGAGGGCGTTCCCGGCAAGGGATTCCACGAAATATTGGCAGAGGTAGGCGTCATGTTCTTCTGGTGAGAACCGGGCTCGGTTCATCGCGTTATTGAAGGTCATGAGATATTTTTGCAGGTCCGTGTTGCTGACGAATGACGCTGGAAGCTTCAGTTTCACGGTGTCTCGGAGGGGTACGCGGGTGATACAGTCTGCGAATGGCGTCTGTTGAGTAAGCTTTAGGACCTTCTCAAGCTCGGGGGCTGAACTGGTCGCGTGGTGGACTTGAGATTTGATTTTGTTGATCCTCTGGTGGAGACGGGTGAGCTCGGCTTGCTCGGGAGTCTCGTGGGGGGGGGTAGAGTCCGGGGCGGACAGGCGGGATTTGTGCTTAGATCGCGTGTTGGAATCCTTCACGTGCTGGTGGTCGCTACCCCGTGCTGGGGTGGGTGTTTCGCCGAAGATTAGGCGCTTGGCTCCGGATGCGGTGGTGCCCGGGGGTATGTGGATGGCTCTGGGAGTGCCGGTCTTGGTGTCGTCTTCGTCTGGTGGAGACTCGGGTCGGGGCTCTCGTAGTGTCTCCAGGTACGCGACCTGCTGAGCTTTGAGAGCCCCAATCTGGTCGTTTAGCTTGTTGTCCATCTGCGTCATGGACGATTGTAGGATGGCGGTAATGTCTGTTGGTGCGGGTGGAGGCGGAGGGGGCGGGAGTGTGTCCGTTGTGTTGAGGGAGCTCCGAGCTAACGGAAGGTCGGTCTCGTCGGTCGTCCCGTGCTGTTGGACGTTTGAACTGCCACCGGGCTCTAGTGGGGTAGAGCCCAGTCCGGTCTGTGGTATCCTGGGGTTGTTCCCGACCTGATTTTGGGCGGGTGGTTGGATGATCGTATCGTCGGTGGTATTGTCGGTGGATCGCTTCTCCGTGGACATCTTCGAGTTCCGGCGTGAGTAGACGAAATTGTATCTTTTGTTCCCCACATACGGCACCAATTGTAAGATCTAGATATTTCCCTAAGAGAAAATATAAAGATTGTGAGGGCAAAAGATATAGTTGTATTGAATTTAGCCGGAGCTCGAAGAGCACAAGAGATTTAGGTCGTCGGAAAAGAACGCCGACCTAAGTTTTAAGAGTAAAGAACCGAGATCTAGAACTGGAAGCAGTAAGCTATTATTTGCCCTAGGTCTCGAGTCGGAAGTTGTGAATGAATCGTCTTCGAGAGAGGGGGCTCTTCTTATATAGCCTTCGTAGACCGCCTTGAGAATAATCCTTCTTCTTCGGGATTAGGATAGTTTCTTTTCTTCTCGGGGTCTTCTTTCCTTTTCTTCCGCGATATGAATATATCTTCGGATATTTCCATATTTGAGCGCCGACCTAGACTCGGAAGTGGAGGTAAGGCTTCATATGGGCCTTGTCTCAATTTATGAAGGTCTTTTAGCAAGGGGTGCTAAACCCATCACTAACAACATGCAATCGAAGAAGTGGGGTTGAGATGTTTGGCCAGTCTTCGAGAAACAATGTCATCATGTGTAAATCATCTCATTTGGTAATCATATCAAACGTTTAAATTTTACGTTTTCTTAATACTTGGCGAGATCATAGATGGAAACTTCTCCGACCATTCAACATTCTCAAAAGTTAAATACGTACACCATGTTCAAGTACAATTATTGAAAATCTTAAAAAAAAAACTAGCTAGGTTTATACGAAAGGTCTTTCTTCGTCTTCTTCTGCTTTTTTTTTACGAAGAGAAAAGTTGTTATTTTTCTAATTTTGAAACCTTCTTTTTCAGAATAGGGTCACAATCTTTGGTTTTGGTTCTTTGTTCGGTGTTGCCGTGTTGGTTACGATGTTGGTTGTGGTCATCGTTAATTTAAATTCCGTTTTTATTTACTAACTTGAAAAGAAATCGCCAAAATCTAAACGCCAAGTGATTGTGGACCGTCTTTTCAAATGCTGTGTGGTTTTTGCTTGACTTTTTTTTGTTTTGTGTAGTTTTTCAAAGAGACTTAAATTTCTGTTTGGTTACAGCTAATATCCAAACCATCAACCACCCGTATATTTTTGGTAGTAATTTGATAAACAAAACATAAAATGTGATATTTTGAGAAAACAATCTAAATATCTATACGTAAAGTTCCATTTTTCGCATAAAAACAGAGTGAAATTGTAGACGAAGAACAGTGGATTTAAAAGAAAGATAAATAGTTGCATATATATTGGCGCAGTTAGCGTTGCGGCCGATGTTATAGGCCGGTCGGATCCGAGTTAAATCTCACTTATGAGATAAAGTCATACCACATTTTTTTTTTTTTTTAACAAAAAGAGTCATACCACATTTCTCGTATGTTTTGCCATGTTTTAACTTCTAATCTATAAAAGTTAGGTGACATAAAATAATTAAAATTGACTTCGCCATATTATAAAGGATTATGCGATAGATTCTGGTGCACGACGTGATAAATCATCGACTGTAATGTCATAATTGTATTATAAAAGTATTTTCATAATTTATCAATTATTAATTTAAATATTGTAACTATAATACCACTAGACTGTAGTGACATGCAGATGGTATAGAGTATAGACTATTTACCGGATGCTGCGCTCCGTTTCTTCTTTATCTTTGGTCGCCTTAAAGCCTTTTTTTTAATATAAAAAGGGCTTTCACCCGCCTTAAAGCCTTTATCCGACGAATAATATATTCTCTCCGTTTTTGTTTGTAAGATATATTTTTTTTGTATCAAATATTATTTTAAGATGATGCACCCAAATAAGCTTTAAGGCGACGAATCTTATATTCCTTTTATTTTTGTTTACAAGATATTTTTAAAATGATGTACACAAATTAAGAAATCCAGTATAATATCCATTATAACTTTGTTTGTTGTTTACTCCAAATTAAAATTTTAATGAGTACTGTAAACAACAAATTTGTCGGTGTATCCATTAGATTTTAATTTATTAATTAATATAGGGGTAAAAAAATCATTTTTCATTAACTTTTACATAGATTTTTGAAAACAATCATCTAATTTAAAAAAAAAAATTCTTAAAACATCTTATAAGAAAAACTGGAGGGAATATTATTCTTTTGTAAGATGTATATATTTATATAAATTCAAATGTTCTATTTACAGAAATGATCGGAACTGGCATCAATTTCAAGAGAACCTTAGGTGTTAGAATGAATATTCAGTGTTTACATGATCATTGTTAAAGTTGTAACATGTTATAGCATTTTCAAAATTTTGCATTCACAATCTACAAGGAAACATTTTCTAGAAAATGAATCTGGGACTTAGTAAAGTATAACAAAAATACTACATTGATCAATTATTGGGTAAATAAGTGTGTACCTGTCTAAATAGTTTTTAACTCATTAATTAGAGATTATAAGATATTCCCTCCGTTTTTTTATATAAAATGTTTTATAGAATTTTTTTGTTCAAAAATAGTTGATGTTTTCATATATTTAGATAAGAATTAAATATTTTTTTATTGTTTTAAGAAACATTTAATTCGAATTAGTTTTAGTTAGAGAAAGTAAACACTTGTTTTAGTTACCTATATATAAATTTTACATGGTGTATATACAGCGCTCTAATTATGATGCAAATGTGGAAAACTAATATATATTGAAATTGTGAAAAGTAGCATCATAGATGATTCATGAATTGGCATGGATTGGAAGACAATTTGAAATTATCTTATAATATAATGCTGAGTCGTCAATTCGGATTGTTCAAGAATCGAGACGATGGAGTTGAGAATTATTCCAAACAGAGCTGGTAACATGGTGATGATCACCAATAGAAAACAATATTTTTAGTTCGTACTTCCTCTTATTAAAATGCAAAGTCAATGTCTGTTGGCTCTGGCTCTTTATAAGAAGCTACAAGACTTTCTATATGATTAAAGATAATATATTACTCTTGCAAAGAAAAGAAAAACAAAAAGAGCAGATCCAACTGCTCTCAAGATCGCATCTGAATCAAAGATATATAGCATGATCAAAGAGGCGATCAATTCATGTGTTCATCCGCCTTTCGATGGTGTTATGGCTGAATCTGATAAGGTAACTTGACTTATGGATTTATTAAACCACGGTTTTCTCTTATTAGTTTGGTTATAGCTGTTTTGAATCTTCTTTTGGTGTTTTCATCGGTTAAAATTTTGGATTTTGAGACACTGTTTATATAATATCTGTATATACTCCCTACGTTTGTGAATTATGCCTGAAATTAATACATATTTACTGCATCTTATAAAAGTCAACCTGCTTGTTTAGGAATTGGTCAAGATTCGTGAGTATCACAAATTTCTCATTGTTGAAAAAGAAATACTCCATTACTACTTTCATGTTTCACATAAGTATAAACCACAAAGAATTAGTTACATGTATTTACGATCCGGTCTAATATAGGTCCGATACAATTTTTGTTTTTTTAAGTATACGATCTCTGTTCATCTCTAACTGTTCAGTTTTGTGTGTTGGGTTATGAAGAACTAATCATTGTGATACTTGAAAAATAGGAGGATAAAAATAAAATAAATAATAAAGGTGATTAGTTGATTACTATATATATGTACGTAAGATGTGTTTGGATATTTACAGGAAGTGGAGCTTGATGCAACAAAAGCCAAGGTGGAGAAAGTTAGAGAAGAAAACGAAAAGTTAAAACTCTTACTCTCTACGATTCTTACTGATTACAACTCACTTCAAATGCATGTCTCCAACGTTATCCGACAACAACGTGAAGCTTCTATGAAGCTAGACATTAATCGTCACGACAACCTCGGTCTAGATATATCTCTTAGGCTTGGAAGATCAGACCCGAATATTTCCCAAAAAGAGAATGAAATAGAGAAGATTAGTCTAGACAAGATTTCTGATGAGAACAAGAAAGTGTCAGACAAGAAAAGATCTGCACTCGGTTTAGGATTTCCAATTCAAAGCAGTGATGAAGATCCGAAAACTGATCAAACCATGAAGTTAGATTATGTTTCTAGAGATGTTAAGAATAAAAACGCGGAGAACAAATGTGTGTCTTCGAGGAAAGATGCTAAAACAGCTAGAAATGAAGATCATCAAGAGGTTTTGGAAGGATATGAGCAACCAGCAGGTTTAAAGAAAACTAGGGTTTGTGTGAAAGCACCATGCGAAGACCCATCAGTACGTACCAAACCAATTTTTTTTTTTTTTTTAATATTTATCTTAGATGTAACATGTAACATATTTCTCTTGATGTTTACATGAACTCATAGATAAACGACGGTTGCCAATGGAGGAAATACGGTCAAAAGACTGCAAAAGCAAATCCTCTTCCACGAGCCTATTACCGCTGTTCCATGTCCTCAAATTGTCCCGTCAGAAAACAGGTACAAAACATTCTACAATATTCACAACCCAAAATTCAAACTTGATTTTCTTAGTAAAAAATATGGAACCATTGAACCGGTTGTGGTAATGCCACTAGACAGTAAACCTTTTTTAAAACCGTAAAAAAATAGTGGTAACTAATATCATGACGATAAAAACAAATTATGGTGGTTGAAAGATTTATTCTGAGTCAAGAGACTAGAGTTCAAGTCCTCCCATGCGATTTCAATCAAATGACAAGAATACTCGGTTCTTTTTACAGGTCCCGAAGCCGAGGATTAGTACAGGCTTCGGCTCGGGATCTGGTCTGGTTGTAAACAACAAATGATAGTGATAATATTAGTTAATAGTAAATGTGATTTATGTAAGAATGTATTTATTATGCAGGTGCAAAGATGCGGCGACGATGAAACTTCCGCTTATATGACCACGTATGAAGGAAATCACGACCATCCTCTACCCATGGAAGCAACTCATATGGCTGCCGGAACTTCCGCTGCCGCCGCCTTATTACAATCTGGCTCCTCCTCCTCCTCCGCAAGTCTGAGCTATTACTTCCCTTGTCACCACTTCTCTGTCTCCACCACTAACTCCCACCCCACCGTAACACTTGACCTCACACGACCAAACTATGATCCCAATCAATTACCAAACTACGCTCTTTCTTCCTCCTCTCTCAGCTTCTCCTCCTCTGATCGTCCATCTTCATCGAACAGTCGCACCTTGAGCTTTAATGGCTTGAGATCACAAGCTCCCTTAAGTACATATTCACAAATGGCCCGTTTATCACATCAAACCAAACTTTCTGGACAACATTAACTATATATATATATATATATATATATGTTTTTTTTGCTTTTGTTAATACATGCTTTTTGTTTATTTTTTTCATCTATATACGTTTTCAAACTATTTTGGAAATCGTGAACTTACAACTCAAAACTAATCAACAATAAATCGATTAATCCATGTTATTTTATATATTATATATGTTTGATTTATCTACATATTATAACAAATTCTTTATCGTCCATATATTTATTAGTCATCTTTCTTATAACCAGCCAAAGAGATTATTAAAATAATAAAAAACTATATTTAAAACCTACACTTTGATAAAAAGTTCCAAAATCTATTGTTTCACAAAAAAAATATCTTACCAACCTCAATCATGTTCCGATATTTTTATTTTATTTATGGTTTGCTATAATTGTATTGTCCTCAACAATTATTCATTAATGCAAGTTGTTAGGATATGATATATTACATGCATAACTATATATATGATTTGTTGTAGAGCTAAAGATAGTTGAAAGTTTCAATAACAAACCGGATTCAAGTTGATTGGTCTATTTGTTGACATTAGACACTCCTCATTTAAGCAAGAACTGTGAAATATAACTTGTATGAAAAGTAGCCATAACAAGTGAAAACATGAACCATGTTTGTGTCTCTCTCGGCAAGGAGATTATTAAAACTTGGTATCAAACAAATAGAAAAAATTGGAATCAAACAAATTGAAAAACTTGGAACGGAAGCCAATCATTTTCTTATCTAAATCAACTTTTTATATGTATAAAAAAACAATTTGGTACAAATATTTTCGTGAAGTTCTCAAAGAAACATTTGAAACACTATGATCTCGATATGGTTGTCAACTTTTCACCAAAATGGCATGACTCTATTATGGGCTTAGGCCCATATCAAACAGATATGATATCCCTCTCTCTTAGAATCAAGCCCAGCCGAGTCAAAAGGCTCCGGTTGCTTCGCTGTTCACTCTTTGACACAAGACCACTTGATGAAATGACACGTGTCAATATACCAAAGCGAGCATAACCGCCAGAAAAGCGAAACCATAGGTTCCAATCTCCGACACGTCGCATATCCGACCACGATCAACACCCACAGTTTTTTTTTTTTTTTTTTTTTTTTCTCTCTTAAGCGAAGAAAGCTTAAAAGAATCTGGGTTTTCATCGTTTCGAATCTGGAACCACCGTAGATTGCTGTTGATTTTTTCGATTGAACCGAATTGCGTTTTGGCAAGGCGGTATCAAGATATGGCGGGAAGTGAGAGTGTAGATAAAGAGATAAGATCGGCTGTTTCGAGCTGCGAGGCGTATTTCGAGAAAGTACAATCGAGGAAGAATCTTCCCAAATCTCTTCAAGAAACCCTAAACTCTGCTTTCGCCGGAATCCCCGTCTCCTCCTTCCCTCAAGTTCCCGGCGGCAAAGGTAAAATCAGATAAGATCCCATTTCCTCGATTTCTCCGTTTTAAGTCTTATCAATCAAAATGCTTTTTTTGTGGATTTTGCATTTCTTTCTGTTAATAAAAAATCATAATTTCCAGTATTCTCGTTTAAATTTGGAAACTTTACAAACTAATTTTAGAAATTTGGTGATAGATTCTTTCTGGTTGTGTAAAGTCTGAAACTTTATTGTGTGTTTGATCATAGTGATTGAGATTCCAGCGGAGACATCTGTGTCAGAGGCAGTAAAGATTCTATCAGACAGCAAGATTCTCTCAGCTCCTGTGATAAACAAAGATCACGAGAGCTCCTTAGACTGGAGAGAGAGATATCTAGGAATCATCGACTACTCCTCAATCATCCTGTGGGTGCTAGAGAGTGCAGAGCTCGCGGCGATCGCGTTATCCGCCACGTCAGCAACTGCTGCTGGTGTCGGCGCAGGAGCCGTCGGAGCTCTCGGCGTTGCAGCGCTCGGCGTAACCGGTCCGGTAGCTGCAGCGGGTCTAGCGGCTGCTGCGGTTGGAGCAGCGGTTGCTGGTGGCGTTGCGGCTGACCGTGGGATCGGGAAAGATGCTCCGACGGCTGCTGATCATTTGGGGAAAGATTTCTACCAAGTCATTCTCCGAGAAGAGCCTTTTAAATCAACCACTGTAAGTTCTTAGAAAAATCCGAAAGATATCGTATTTGTGACGATGATTGATTATGAATTCATGAAAATGTTTGGTTTTTTTTGCAGGTTAGAACGATTCTTAAGTCTTTTAGATATGCTCCGTTTCTTCCGGTTTCTACAGAGAGCTCGATGTTGAGTGTCTTGTTGCTACTCTCGAAATACCGGTTAAGAAATGTGCCCGTGATTAAACCGGGAGAACCGGATATCAAGAACTACATTACTCAATCTGCGGTTGTTCAGGGACTCGAAGGCTGCAAAGGCAGAGACTGGTTCGATCACATCTCCGCACTACCGATCTCTGATCTCGGCGTCCCTTTCATGTCGCCCAACGAGGTAAGAAGAATCTCTGACGTGTTTTTCGCTGACAGTAGAAGTAAACCGGTTTTGAAATCTAACTTCTTGAGTTTTCAGGTGATTAGCATCGACAGCGAAGAGCTTATTCTTGAAGCATTCAAGAGGATGAGAGACAACAACATTGGTGGTCTTCCCGTCGTTGAAGGGCCAAACAAGAAAGTTGTTGGGAACATAAGCATGAGAGACATCAGATATTTGCTTCTTCAACCTGAAGTCTTCTCCAATTTCAGGTTTTAATTTTACCTCACTCATTACAATATCTGGTTTACAATTTTGCTTTGTCCAACTAAAAGTTGCATCTTGTTCTCTCTATCTAAGGCAACTCACGGTGAGGAGTTTCGCGGCGAAGATCGCTACGGCGGGAGAGGATTACGGTTTAGCGATTCCTGCGATAACATGTAAGCCTGATTCGACTTTGGGGAGTGTTATAAACAGTTTGGCTTCGAGGTCGGTGCATAGGGTTTATGTAGCTTCTGGAGATGAGAATGAGCTTTATGGGGTTATTACACTGAGGGATGTGATCTCTTGTTTCGTATCAGAACCTCCCAATTACTTTGAGAACTGTCTTGGCTTCTCGGTTAAGGAAGTGCTTAATCGATGATCTTATCTTCTCAAGCTTTTTTTGGTCTTCTCTGTTTATTGTTGGTTTCTTTCTTAGTTGAAGTTCTGAAGGTTGCTGTTTTTTTTATATCTAATTTGTAATCCAGTTTAAGTTTTGTCTTTTGACTTTTAACTTTAGAGAAGGTGTTTTGCTTAAGTTGTGAACTATGCATAAAGTTTGAAACTTTATTAGATTTGATGAAAATGTGATTATGATTTGGACATAAAGTGTACCTAACTTACTGATTCAACTAAAAACAGAGGAAAATTGGGGACTCAAAAATTTGAAACTTTATAGACAAAAAGAAAATAAAAAGTTTGGAACTTTAGATTAGGATGGGACATGAGTGGTTTGATGTAAAAAAGGAAAATTAGAGAATTAAAATTTGGAACTTTATAGACAAAATAAAAAAAAAGAAGTTCGGAAGTATTTAATAAAAAGAAGAAGTTTCGTTAATGCATGGTTAGATTGACACATTCAGGTCCCTCTGCGACCCAATTTTACTCTCTATTAGAGCATAAAAGTCCTCTCTGTCTCTCTCCCGATTGTTTGATTATTCTGCCTCAAAGGTATTAGATTTCGTCTGATCGTACGAAAGTTCATCTCTTTTTTTCATATTTTGCAATTTTGATGATCATGTTTCGTTGCTCTGCCCCTGTGATATGGATGATTTAGGGTTTCTTACGATTTTAGGGGTTTTATCCTTTGTCTATCCTCGTAATCCAAAGTTATGGGTTTTATTTCATCTAGGTCGTGTCAAGATATGAAACCTAGGGTTTATATTCCATCTAAAAGAGTTCCCTATGTGAGATGTTTGAATCCGGAAACGTTTGTCTAGTTTTGTTCTTGACTTGTAGCAATCTTGTTTCTTGAAAGGAGATCGAGACGCCATGAAGACTCCAGCAAGGAAGAGGCTTATGAGGGATTTCAGGAGGTTGCTGCAAGATCCTCCTGCTGGTATCAGTGGTTCTCCTCAAGGCAACATCTTCCTCTGGAACGCTGTTATCTTTGGGTAAAACAATTGATTTTTAATGGTTTTTTATTTTTATTTTATTACTTCTTGTATTGATTCTGATAGTTTTCTTGCTTCAATGGAAACTGCAGTCCAGATGACACGCCTTGGGATGGAGGTATTGATTTTTTACATGTCAGTATATAAAGTCTATACCTTTAGAAACTGACCCTTAAACTGATCCAATGTTAAGTATATTTCATATTTTTCAGGTATGTTTAAGTTGACCCTTAAGTTTACAGAGGATTATCCAAACAAACCACCAACTGTACGTTTTGTTACTCGGATGTTTCACCCAAATAGTAAGTTTTGAGTAAATTATGCTCTTAATTTATGTTTAGTGGTTTAATCTATGTTGATCTTGACGATTCTTCTCATGTCTTGTTCAGTCTTTGCAGATGGAAACATTTGTCTTGACATCTTGAAGAAACAATGGAGTCCTGTTTATGATGTGTCCTCTCTTCTTACATCTATCCAGGTATAGGAATCCATCAATACATTTGATTATCTAAACTCTGTTTTCAGACTTTCGTTTTATCTTTTTTGATCATGAACCATTGTTTGTGGCCTTTTTACAATTTGCAGTCCCTTCTCTGTGATCCCGACCCATATTATTACCGTTTGCCGTCACGTTCCGGTAATTCCAACGCAAAGTCACCTGTAGACTCAGAAGCTGCTCGCTTATTCCGCGAGAACAAGCGAGAATACAACAGTCGGGTTAAGGAGACTGTCGAACAGAGTTGGACCGCTGATTAATTAGCAATTTTGGTAAATGAATGATCTGTTTTTTGTAACATTGTAAGATATTTCTAATGTCATTGGATGGAATGAATCTATGATAACACATCTTGCTTCCAAGTTTGTGTGTGTTTGTTCATTCAAGAGCATCAACGTTCGTTCCACGCCTTTGATCTCTCCTCCCATTGTCTTTCTTTAACTCCTGCTTGTTTACAATGAAAATACTCTTAAAACACATAATGTATATGGAAAAAGAGTAAAAAAAAAACTCCAATGAAACAGAGTGTGTTGACTATGAAATGATTGAAACTACTCGTTCTTAAGAGCAATATAGATCAAATCACATGGCTTTTCTTTTACATGAAGGTGGTTACATATAACTAACCTTGATCGTTGCAAGCCATCTCGATGACTCATATAACCATTCGGTGCCAATATGCCACCTAGAGTCCCCCCAAACACTTCAGTGTTCATTAGCTTGATTTGTACGACCAAGTATGAACAATGAAGCGTTAAAGGGAACTCAAGGGGACATTTGACTCTACATGTTATGTGTTTTGCTAATGCTTCTTCTCTACTCAATGACATTAGTCACATTACAATCTTCATATTTATATGTACTTCTCCATGTTTTTTTTTACCTTTTTTCCGAATGGAATTTTTTATGGAGGGACCATAATATATTATATTCTCCATTATATAAAAAAACATGAGGGAAATCTGAAGATGAACCAAGTCGGAATTAGGGGAATAAGGGTCTTAGAGAATATATATAACTCCATCAAATTGCTACAGAGGCACATTCTTCACAGGATCTTTCGTGCGATAGATCTTCTTTTTTGTTCTTCATGTAAATGCGTTGGTCTTGGGAATATTTCAACGGAGTGACAGAAACCAATGGAACAAAATATCTCGATTTTCTGTTTTGGAGTAACATATAACCTCTACGAATACCAAGATAATGTTGATACTTGTGTAAATGCATTATAAATTAGATAATTAAAGTATACCATTAATACTTTTTTGTTTCTGTTTTGAAAAACTTTTGTTGATGGCAAAATATGCCAATGGTCGGGTGGCGATGGCAGGTTAGGAGTTGTGCATGACAATGAATCTGTGGGTTGGATTTCGATTTAACGACTGATTGTAACAGATTCCAATAATATATATCTTAATTTATTACTTTCTTCGTTTTATAAAAAATGTCAACATTTTTCACATAAGTTAAGAAAATATTATAAATATCTATTATGTTCTTTGTTAATACACTAAAACAGTTTCTCTCTCTAATTAATAAACTAAAATAACAAGAATAAAACTGAGAATAAATTTTAAAAACTATATTAAAAACATAAAATGACACTTTTTATGAAACAAAAATAAAGTGTCAAAGTGACATTAATTTTGAAACGGAGGAAGTAGTATTATATTGATTTAGCAACATTTTCTTTTGGTAATGAATATGCTTTGTTAATCTAACAAAAACATGACAGCGTGTTGATAATTATATTCCAAAACTGGAGCAGCGGAATGTATATGGTCACAAAAGAAGCAAAACATTCATGTGTGCATTTGCATATATGTGAGTGTACATTTACATTTATTGGTATATATATGCGTGTATAGAAGAATGTGATCTTTCTTATCTGCTAAAAGCTAAGTAAAAAGGATTTATGCAGTTTTCTAGAAATTTTTTGATTCCTTCACTTAAAGCCCTTAAGAACTCAATTTACGTCTAAGTTCACAATGCTTCCAACTATATATAGAAACTCCCATCCCTCCAAATTTTTCAAGCCCGAAATACACATACAATAGTACATTTTTGTAGAGGCAAAAACATCATTTTCGTCGGATGTTTCCTAGAGTTCCTCTGAACACTTCATTGGATATATAAACATATTCTATCGAAAATGTGTTCCACTGAAGTGTTTGGGGGAACTCCAAGACTCATTCGGTTGTGATTTCATTTCACTATACTAAGTTATGAATTAGAAATACTATTGAATCAATCTTATTTATGTATATCATTTTAATATTTGTACGGTGTTGGCTAAACACGAATTAAGGTAAGGGGTCAAATGTATAATATTAAATTAATTTACTCTTGTTTTCATTTGCTTCTAATTGTTTTTTTTTTCTCCTCCTCAGGTTCGACGGTTAATCACTCTATTGTCTAGCAATTTTGTCCGCATAAGATTTACTTATCGTGATCGGGGATCTATTTGTCCTTTTGTAATGTATATAATCCTATGTATTTCATATATAAGCATATGTTTGGCTGCTAATTGTAGTTGTATTCAAGCAAAAGTAATAGTTGCATGCTTATATAAATTTGAGTTTTTTCATGTTTACTAGAACGAATTAGAATTGAATTATAAATAACGAAGAAAGTGGGTGTCATAGGTAACGCAAAACAATGTCGAAATAATAAGACTCTATTTCTTTATGGAAACAACTACTGTATGTGTGATGCTCTAAATTTGGAAAGAGGCCATATTAATAATACCGCTTTGCAATTCTCAGTAATTTGACACTATGAGTCTCTGCATATGCACTTAGGCGTATGATCGTTGGTTAGAGGGGTTGAAGGCTTGAAGCCAATCGAGAGGCTGACGAATGAATTCTTATAGTGCACAGTTTAGGACTTATGTTACTCCTTAGAATTTCTACGTACGTTTTAGTACCAACTGAGAGATTAGGACTCTAGACTTACCTAGATAAGCTCAAATAGACCATGATGGTGAAATGTGAATAGTTATAATCTTATGTCTAAGTTTCTCCCTATCCATATATAGAACATCAAACAAGTCTTATCTTCAAAACTCTAGAAGCAATTTTTCATATGACTCCATCTAGTCCCAAATGCGGTCACACTTAGAAGTTAGAACCTTTTTTCTTTATAATATTATCGTTAAGCGAAAGTAGGGGAGATTTTTTAATCAGTAATTAGATCTCCGCACTAGGACTTAAAACTTAACTTAGTTTTTATAATTACATCACATCACAAATCCTTACCATTCTCTAGGCTTAAACTCATTGTTTACATATGCGAATTTTTAGTGTTACCACTAATTAATATCGCAGCATAACCATGCATGTACGGTCGTCAAAGACTCATGCATGGCACATCACATGGCCCATGAGTTTTTGGCCATAACATCCTAGCTAGGATGAAGAAATTGGGTACAAGGTAATTGTTTTCCTTGAGAATAAATGGCTAAGCGATTATCTAAACGTAATCGTTTTATAACAAAATTGATATTTTAGGATAATTTTTGAAATGATCCATTTGACAAATTTATTATAAAACATAAATTTTACTAAAATGATCCATTAAAAGAATCTAATAGTTTGCTTTCAGTTTGCTGTTAATCTACTAGTAATTTACAATTAATCTATCATTAGATTGCCAATAGTCTACATTCAATTATTTGACCAATCAATCTATTAATAGTCTGTATTCAGTTTGTCAGTATTTTGTTATTTGTCTGCCATTAGTCTCCAAGTAACAATAGATAGAAAAGTAACACTAATATTTTTAAAAATAGTAAAAAATGATCATTTTCATAATTTTCTCAAAATTGAATACATATTTTATATTATTTTATTATTTTGATTATTTTAGAGCATTTCCTCATTTTATATATATTATCAACCATAAAGAAGTTGTGGAATCTTTATTTTTTGTTTGATGAAGAAAGCCTGGTACCATATGTTGAGATATTGAAGAGCAAAGGGACATGTGACTCTTGCCTTTGTTACTCATCTGTATCTCCAATAGCCACCATATATATGATATATCCTGAAGCTTTTTCCTTCTTCTCTTTTCCGTGGAATTTAACACATGGACCGTCAAATTTTAGATTCTTGTCAAAACGTGTGCAAACGTTTTATACAACCGAAGATGAACCTGGTCCATGTTTTGAACCTAGTGAAAAAATAAGAATAACGTTTGTGAAACAAGATGCTCGATATCTTCTATCTTTTACCACGCACACACGCATGTGACATAATTCTTGCTTTTCTTACTTATCTTATACAGTATCTCTTCTACTTTTTTCAGTAATTATTTCCTTCTATTTTTTTCCGGAGATGCCATGTAATGATTAATCATAGGTTAAATATTAATTTATAAGAGGCACATGATGTGACCGAAAATCGACCTTAGTGATTCGATTGTGCTGAATGGAAGGGAAACTAATGAATATACAGATTAGATTCACAAATGAGATATCATTTACTTACATGATGTTATATGACAAAACTATTTTTGAATATAGTTCCAAATTAGCTTAAAGTGATTATTACAAATGGTGATATATATATTTTGAGTTAAACTACTTGGTGGGACGAAGACCTCCCCGGAGTGAGTTTCAGGCCAAATCTATCAAGCTCGATTAAACGGTCCATATATACAAAGAATTTTAGTCTTTCAACTATAAACCCTAGCACACCTGATCTGATCACCCTTGATTTTGCATATCAAAACTTAGATATTAAAACCAATCTCCATTGTAAAAAAAAAAGGAAAGAAAAATCCTAACCATTTTCAAAAAAAAAGACAAAAGATACTCTATTGGGGTTCACTTAAATCTCTTGCTCGTTTCAAAAACCGTTTGTAAACGATGGATATCTCTTTTAAAAAAAAAAAAAAAAAAAAAAAAAAAAAGAGGTTCACCAAAAACCACCTGACTCGTGCCACTCGTCCACAATTCATATAGTTTGTCTGAATCCATGATTTATTCGGTTTATGTCATCCTCAACGACTGTCCACAGTGGTGGATCCAGAACAAATTTTAGTTGGGGCCGGGCAAAAACATTGTAACAATTTTTTAATATAAAATTAAAGTATAAAATCAAACTAAAGCATTATTTTCTCAAAATAAATAAATTATAATTGCCTTTTTTACATCTATATTGGAAAGGGAGATAAAAAAACAAAAAACAAAAAAAATAGAAGCTGTGGCTCAGGTTCCTCGTCATCCGACGCTTTCCTAGAATTTGGTCCATGTTCCTTCGTATCAACGAGAAGGAGAAGAAATATAAGTTTAATTTTATTGCATGTTTTTGTTACATTTTTTAGAAGAGTTAAATGGACTCGGGTTTTGGACCTTTGGTACTGATAATTTACTTAAGTAGTACCTCTTATTGAATAAAAGTAAGTTGTAACAATATTTCTCATTAATTAAGAATGAAAAGATACAAAAAGTATAAATAGATACTCTGAATTAAGCTAAATGAAACTTAACCAG